AATATCAGTCTTTGTGGGGGATTTATGCTCCAGTGCAACTTGGCCTTTGCTCGCTCCCCATCTCTGTTTCCTACTGATTATGCTAAAATAACTTGCATTGTTTCTGCTCTAAAAGGAAAAGCTCTCCGTTGGGCCCAAGCATGACTGCTCATTCTCCTAATACTTTAACTTCTCAAGTTTTCATTCAAGAATTCAAGCGTGTATTTGACCATCCACTCCACCAGGAGGCAGCCGCAAAACAACTACTGTCATTACGACAAGGAAGTAAATCAGCAGCCGACCACTCCGTGGATTTTCGTATTGTTGCTGAGGAAGCTGGATGGGATGAATGAGCATTAAAAGGTACTTATTTTAATTCTTTAAATGAGAACATAAAGGACCAGCTTGCCTCCCGGGATGAACCCGGGAGCTTGGATGAATTAATCTCTCTCTCTATCCGCATCGACAACAGAATAAAGGAACGTAGAAAGGAAAGAAACTTCATTACCCACAATCCTTGGCATGTCTTTCAGTCGGCTGAAAATAATGCCACCAGTAATCCTACACCACCCGAGTCTGAACCAGAACCGATGCAAGTAGGGCGGACCCGACTACCTCCTGAAGAGAGACAGAGACGATACGCCGCTAAAGTCTACATCTACTGCGGTAACAAGGGACACTTTGTCGCCACCCGCCCAGTATGGGGAAACGGACCGGCTCGGCAGTAAAACAGGGGACACCGCCGAGTTCATCCCAAATCTCCCCTGCCTCGTTTCTGTCTGTCCCTGCCACCATACTTCACAACCAAATTAAACTCCCCATTTCTGCTCTTATCGATTCCGGTGCAGAACAAAACCTGATCTCCAGAGACATAGTGGAACAACTCCAACTCCCCACCATCCCACTCACCTCACCTCGCTCCATCACGGGGTTAACAATCATTAGACCATCAGCCTAACAATGGATCATTAGTGGTCCTGGTTTTATCTACAATCAAGGAAGTCGTCGGCAGCAAATTTGGACCTGATCACACTGCTTACCTTTTTGATGGCTTGGTTCGTGTCTCGAGTACCCAGACTCAAATGCTTAGGGCTGAAAGGATCAGATCTCAGGGATTTTACTCAGTCACGTTCCATCGGTGTGTCCATGTTATTTTGGACATTTCGGAACCGAGTGGACCAACACAGACTCACGGTAGATGTCATTAAGTTCTGCATGTCCCCAAAACAACTGTGTGTTTACCTGAATTTTGGTTCCCTTGGCTGGTCTTGAAGGACATCTTATCTGAATTTGCCTGGAGAAAATGTGATCTGACGCTCACCACCCCCTCCCTGAGGAATTTCCAACTGATAACCAGATGAACCAGATGAATAAACTTTGTGTCATCATTTCAGAACTCTTGGATTCTCAAAGATGTTATCCTTGGCCATTTCTCAACATACCTCGAGAATGTTTATGGATCTCACCGGAGGACATTGACTGATTACAGTGACCTCGAGAGCATCAATAAGCGTTGTTGACCGCTCTCGTCTCCTATTGCAGAACGTCTATGTAAATATGTTCTTGTTTGTGCAAGGTGTTTTTTTAATATTAGTTGGGTTTTTTTCTCAGGCAGGAAAAAAAAGTCTGATAGGAATTTTTTTGCCTCAAACTCCTACGTGTCCAGTTAACCACTGTTTTTTGTCTGTCCAAACAGGTCTCACTTGTAAATGAGTCTTTGAGGCTCAATGTGATTTATCTGTTTAAATAAAGGTTGAATGAATTAGCACCCTGATGGCTGTTTACTATTCACAGGGGGCTCAGTGATACTAGCAATCACAGCATTGTAAGAGGGGGACAGTTGAACCCGGAGGCTCCGCCCCTGTTTAATGATGGACGGTTTCTTTTCACAAAGATGGCCTCCTTTACTCCTCTCTCAAACCATCGTTCCTCTCTGTCCAGGACGTGAACATCTTCATCCCTGAAAGAGTGACCTCTGACCTGGAGATGAGGGTAGACCTCAGAGTCTTGGCCTGATGATGTTGATCTGTGCTGGTCCATCCTTTTGGCCAGTGGCTGTTTAGTTTCCCCGATGTAAGACTGATCACAGCCTTCCTGACACTGAAC